AGTTTTATTCACACACTTAATAAAAGTAGCAATATTATATAACAATAAAATGTAAAAGATAAGTATCAATATTCAAATATTCAGTCTGACTTGGGGGTTCTGAAAGAAAGTCAGTCTATATAATGACATCATACTAAATGCTAAATGCATGCCATTAATTGCATTCATTTGAATGTCCAGAATAATGTGCAATGCGAAAGCTCTTTTTTTTGCTTTCCTACTTTCCTGTTTAAACATTTTTATGAACTAATGGTTTACTCCAGCACCCATGTGGACAGAGATTTGTCATTTTCAAACAACTCTTAGACACATTGTTGGTGCTAAAGATATTGGTTTCCATTTTGGTTACATTGTTCTGTTGTCTTATAGAATACACATCATCTTATTAAGATTTATTTTATTCTGTCTTTATCTGCATACTTGGTGTTGAGGTAATCCAAATATAATGGAAAGTAATCAAGTTACATTACTTTAATATTGTGATACTTAGATTAGTTTACTGACTACATTTATTAACAAAAACAATGGTGCTTTGCTTATAAAGACAGGAAAAATGGAAAAAGCTACAATGGGATTTTCTTCCTTTAAAACAAACTATTGAACTATTTTACTGGCCTTCAGCCTAACAATGCACATCTCAGAACAAACATTTTTGTGAATGTGGCCCCAGGTTTTAGTCCGTATACAAAAACTAACATGAGGGCTGGTCTGCTTTATAGTCTCTAATGGAAGGCAAAGCCAATTAGGATTCTACACTTTGAGTTGAGAACACATCCTTTTTTCTTGTTTCCTCTCTCTGCCTCATTATATGACTGTGAATAATGACCAACATATACATTAACTACTGCTATAATTGTGGTGGAATTAATTATTCTGAAAATAAGTCTCTTTGAAATTAGTGGAAGAAGGGAAGAAAGAAAGTGTGAGAGAGTAAAAGGTCTTGAAGTGAGAGTGCACATGTTTTTGTGTGAGAGTGTGTGTTGGTAATGAGAGCTCAGTGCTGCTGCTAACTTGCTCTAAATAAATCTATGATTACCATTTTCCCTTTAAAAGGAATAATTTCATCTTTGATATCCGTAATTGTGCTTAAGGGCTGCTGCGCTCCTCCGCTAGCCCTCAAACACTCGCTCTTCAACCCATGCAGAGACTATCACAGCAGCGTTTTATTCACTTAACACTTTATTCAGAACCTGTAATAATGAGCCTCACTGAATACTATTTTTAATAAACCATTACAACACCCAAAGAGAAGCTCATTCCAGGTATGTCAAGTGTGGAAATCAGCTTACTGTAAAGAACCCACAGCAGAGCAGATGCTGGGAGTGATCAATCATCTGTAGCACACACTTTCAAACAAGCTTGGACACCCAGAATAGAAAAGTCTGCTAATCCACTGGAGGTACAGACATTTCCATGCATACTCATAGAGTAATGCAAAGGTGCACACTACACATTCCCACTGACACTGAGGGGCTTGTTATTTGCATATGACAGTGTCTAACCAATAGAGGGTGGTGTTGCATTGCGGGTCTGAGTACAGAGGGTCATTATTTTCAGCTGGGAGTGAGCATGGAGCTCATCACATCAACACCTGCCTTTCTAATCTGTTTTTCATTACTGATGACGGGATAAAAAAAGACAATCACCTCTTTAATGGATGATGCTGACATTAAGACTTGATGGTTGCTGTTAAAGAGGACATGTCAGCTGCTCATTGATAAACAGGAGTGTTTCAAATGTAAGGGATCTGGTAAAGCTTTGAACAATGTGTCACTTTCTTTCATTTATCTTAACAAGTAAATATTGCAGGGTTTCAAATTGAATGTTCAAATTCAAAGATATCTTGTATGTAATTCTGTTTTAAATATACTTTGACTCAGGGAGTCAAAGTATATATTTTTTTGTTTTGAGAGATCAAACTCACCACACATATATCACCATAACATATCATCTTCATCAGTGAATAAATGCTGTTTTCAAGATCAAGAATGAACAGACACGGCCTTAAAGAACTAAAGTTCCTCTTACTTCCCTATCCAGATATATCAGCTGCACTTCATGGTCTTCATCACCATGTGGGATATTCCTAATGTTGCCAATAAAAGTTGCTATATTAAAAGTTGCATCTAATCCCCAGAATATTAGATTCAGATTGGCTGATAACAGGGCCTAGGGTCTGAAAAAATGTTAATATGCTTAAAAATCATAGCATCTCTTTAAAGTTGCGAACTCACTGTGAACTCACTCATTTGTTTTCCTCCATATCCTGCTTTATTTCCCAGCATGCATCTGAACATATAAACATCAATATTAGCAGTTTAGTGTTGAACAGTTGTTGGGAAAGTAATCTTAAAACTCTAAAGGACACCTCCATGTAACTCTAATTAAAACTTAACTGCCCAGCCGAGGCAACAGGCAATAGAAGGGGGGAAGGAAAAAAAGGCTTATTTAGCATTAACATAAAAACAAACAGCCGCATATATATATGCAAATGAAGGAAGGGCAAAAGCAGGATGCTGGGAGCCATCCACCATAACTCACACTGATGGCCTTAAAGTGAGAAATCCCTTAAAGAATGTTCAATAAGAAAGTGGGAATGATGCACATGTCGCCCCTCTGACTAATGAGCCAATCACGTTGCAAGGACATAGAGCATCCGGGTAGTGATGTTGGCCTGGAGTGTCACTTTGCACAGAGTGCACCCATGATTCCACAATAGTGAGGGTTTAGGAGCCTGTGATGATACAGAAATTCTCCAAAAAGGAAACATTGCATCTTAATGAAATGATTTACAACTTGTTGTAAGATTAGCCGGGCTCAAACTAATACCAATGTGAACCTGAAAATGTGTGTTTTGAGGCAGCCCTGATGTTTGAGTGTGTGTGTGTGGATTGAATATGAGTGACAATGAAGACAGTTCCTCCTTCTTTCCCTCTGTCCGTCCAATGAGCCATTCAAAGCAGCTTTAATCCTGTATCTTCACAAAAAACATCAAACAAACAAACAAAAAACACTGGCACTGAGTTGCGCCTTAAAAATGACAATGATTTACATTTCAACATAATGCTCTCTGTCGGCTGTTATTGTGACAAAGTGCTGCATGTATCCCTCCCAAATGAAAGTGGGTGTTCTGTTATGCATGCGACAAAGACATTTGGACGAACCTGCCATCCTCTCCTTTTTCTTGTAAATGAGCATGGGAAATCTATTTATGTCCTCCTACAGTATACTGCTGAAATAAGAAACGGCTTTGGCTTATTGGGAGACAGCCCGAGCAGCCGAGATGAGCCCCCGTGAAGATATAGCGAAAGAAAGAAAGAAGAAGGACGGAGGAGAGAAGCGGCAGTCCTCGAGGCGATGCAGGAAAAGTAGCGAGAAGTCCAAACACAAAGCCGGGCGGATGAGAGATGGTAAAAGGCGTTCTCGCTGGATGATCTCCTGCTCTGACAACACCTGGCCCAGGAACAAACCAGAGGCTTGTCTAGATACGAGGTAGTGAGGGATAAAAAGAACCCTGAGGCCTGCACACACCTCCCTCCTTTTCTTCTGCGAACCACACGGTTGAGGATAGAGATGGAATTGAGCGACGAAGTTGAGGCGCAGACATGCAGATGAAGAAGAAAAAAATAAGAGAGTGTTTTTGGAATGTGATAGTAGTTAATCCAGCTCAGATGTGGCGCTGTAGGGATGAAGGTGTTGGCAGCTGTAGTCTGTAGTCAAGGCTGACTGGTCACTGGTTCAAACCTCTGCTTTAAAAACACTGATGTTGCTCTAATCTAAATGTAGTAAGGTGGGGTTTCATCATAGGTGCCACTGCTCAGCAACTGCAACGCAGACGCTCACACTCCCACACACACACACACACACACACACACACACACACACACACACACACACACACACACTACATGTTTCTCCAAGTCACCAAAATGTACTTTTGAGTCTCATTCTCTTCTCCCACAGGGACGTGTGAGGACGAAAATCGCTCCCCACTGTACCTGCCTCTCTTTTAAGCAGTGGAGGCTGCTGGGGAGGCAGTCAGCATCCGGCATGTAGAGATGCTGCTTTCTACCACAAAACCATCATCAGTCGGCAAAGCAACACACACGTATACGATACACACATACACGCACCATGCCAACCACTGCATCCCCTATATGATGGTGCTGATGGAGATGTTTTCTCCATCAGCTCCATCCTTTCCTTGAACACCTAAATTGATTCTTAATTTTAATCTCTGACATTCACATCACTTGGTGATTATCATGATAAAACTGTTCATAGAATAATGCGTATCTTCACAACAGGATATTATTAAATCATCTGAATGTGAGTGAATATGAGTGAAATGTGTGCATACATTTGTGCGCACATCTAGGCCACGACTACGCATCAGTGAGAATCTTAAAAATACGGCTATAATATGGCTATAATATGGCTCAGTTGGTCAATCAGTATCATAAAATAATTAAATATTTATGTTTTTGCACATTTAAATGACTAAAAGGAGTTGTTTAAATTCATTATTTGGAATATAGTGTATTTTATGACGGAGCTTCATTGTGATGAATGTGCCTGCACGCGCACTCGTAAAAAAGGTTTTAAAACGTTCAAAAGTTAACAAATATTGACTTAAATAATATTTGATAATCAGATAAATTTACGCACGCTCTTCAGAAAACGGGAAACGTGTGTATCGAGCGGCACATGATCACACACTACAAGCCTGCACGCATTTAAAATATGAATTCAGACTCGTGTAAAGTGTCCAGCGTGGTCTGCGCAAAGTACTGAAGCCCCTCAGGTCACAATTGAACAGAAATAAATACAGTTCTGGTGATGGGATACCGGCGGAGCTGATTTGAGTGACTCTGACCACGGCTGCCGTGCGCGCCGCTCGCCCGAGTATGTGCGAGGGTGTGAGTGGAGTGTGTGTGTGTGTGTGTGTGTGTGTGTGTGTGTGTGTGTGTCAGTGTGTGTGAAAGCCACCACTAGTCGCCCCCAGTGCTCTTCAGTCTCCACTCTCCCTTCTCACCGCAGACTGAACGTCACGTCCGCACTTGAACTTGAGTTTTCTCCCATTGTAGGAGCCAGAGAGCCGCACAGAGCCGCACATAGCCGCAAACAGCCCGGGGATGCGGGACTCTGCAGCTAGCACAAAGAGAAGAGAGGGTGGTAGTCTATCCTCAAACCAGCACTGGGCTTTGACTCAAAGAGTTAAAGTCTAACCCGCCCGCCTGGCTGGCACTGCCAGTGCAGCACAAGAAGTGCCCACCACTTGGCGACAGCTCCAGAGTGCCGAGAAGAAAATTGGATTCCTATTTTGCACACTTTCAGACGTTAATTGGCATCAAGTCACCTGCTTTCTCCGGACAGGGACGCGCGGTGTTCAGGGTGGCCGGAGAGTGGACACAAGTAGTCACTGACCATCAGGAGGTGACCGCCGACCTCCCGCGTTTTGCCGTCCGTCCCGTCCGCTCCACTCCTTTCATTGATCCGCACTCCTCTGACAAATGGTGTGAAAGCGGTGGAAGACAGAGCCGGACTATCCCTCTCCCTCACCACCACCGCAACTGAAGAGGCGCGCAACCACTTTGGCAACGAACTCCGACTGAGCGCTCGGCCGCCCAGCGCTGCGCAACGGCCGGTCACCGCAGAGCGCAGGAGCCGCTGCCAGTTGGAGGGAGATCCGACGCATAGGGGTCAGTTCGACGGCCACATTAGGGGCCAGAGCAGAGCGGTCAGTTTGGGGTGGCCAGCGAGCGGCAGGTTTTGGGGCCAGTCAGTATACAGAAGCAGCAGGAGGAGGAGAGCCGACCCTTCCAGCGCCGCTCTCCGGGCGATGCCAGTGTAAATGCCAGGGCGATGTCCCGACGCAAGCAGGGGAACCCGCAGCACCTGTCCCAGAGAGAAATAACACGTAAGTATACATACAAAAATCCACATCATCACAGTTTAGGATTAGCTCCTCTTTTTTCTCTCCGTTGTCATTCTGAGAAGTTGAGGGATTTTCAGACTTAGAGCAGAAAGTTTGAAGTGCCTCCTGAAGGCCATTTTCCTCTCCTGCTTTACTGACAAAATTATATAAAGGCCAAAATTCACTTATCTGATTATTATGCTCTATAAATAGGCAGTTAATATTAGAGCACTGGGAGAGAAAAGTCTCTGGCTGAGTGTGTGTTTGACTCACGGAGAAATCGGAGATGAGCCCTGGTACTTTATTGAGACATGACTTCTTTGTTATTCCGCTTTTTGATTATAATTCAATTACAGCCGACACTGTCATTAGTAAGGAAATTAAAACACTTAATTTTCAATTGAAAATAAAAGCACAATTGCAATTCCATCCATTTAAATCACTTTCATAAGCAGATATCCCGGTGAACATTAAACAGCAGCTTTGTTATATTCATATCATTAGACCAAACACGGAAATAAGTCACTTATTAATTCGAGTATTTAATTCTAACAAATTATTTTAATCTTTCACTTTAAGAAAAAGGACAGATTAATTTACCAGCTGCCGTAAAGGAAATAAAAGAAATCAAATGATTTTCTTCTACTCGCGCTTTAAAGGAGCTGTACAGAGTGCCTCAGGTTAAACACGTAGACTTTATTTTTCTGCAGGTTATTGAATCTTTAATAGACACGTTACAGCCTCGTGTCACCCTTTCTGTATTCACTTTAATTAGTTAGTCCCGTTCATGCTGTTTTTCTGCTGCAAGGATTCAAAGCTTAAACTTCCCTCGGTTGTAATATTAATGCTGGATTTTGATTATTTAATAGGCTGCACGCATTGACAGCTAAAAATTCCAGGGTTTCCCTCACGGCACTAATGCAGAGCTGGCTACAATAAGTGATGGCATTTAAAGGCAAAATGCGTTAAAATGAAGTAGTTCTATTATTGTGGAGGATTAATACGATCTTAAATGCCTTTATTGGTAGAAAAGAAAAATAAATTTCTTATTCTGGAAAGCGTAAATTAACTTTTTATCAGGTAATATCAAACCTAAGTAACGCAAATGATTAAAAGAAAATCGCTTTGCTCTCTCTTTTTTTCTTTCATCTTTACTTAACGCAAACACTTGACCTTTTGGCGGTAACACTTTTGTGTGAGGTTATTTTTCTGGCCTCAGATCAGTGATTCAGCTGATGTGGCTCCAGTGCAGCCTGACAGCAGCAGGAATTTAGGAAAGCACGAAATATCTGTAGGAGCAACAGTTTTTGGTTTGGGCATCTGCGTTAATGAGTGTAAATGATAAAGAGGCAAGTTTTACTGTTCAGTGTGGAGATGGTGCAGAATTTACTCTCTTTCTCTTTGGCTTCTTGTGGTTATTCTGCTGAGAGTTGTCTTGTGTGAAGCCTGCCAGATCAGATCACTTACAGCAGGCCTACAGTGTATCAGTGTCCACTTCAGTGGCTTTGGTGTGTATAATATAACACCCATATTTACAGTGCTCCCAGCATGCCTGTATCCAGGTTTTGAGCCACGCCGCTGTACTGTATATAGGTTCCTTGTCTGCTGTGAGGCCTGGCTTTAACCCACATGGTTATAGACACACCTAAAGACAGTGCATGATGCTTGGATGTCAGATCAACTCCTGACAAGTAGAGATTTTATTTCTTAATGCAACTAAAACTTGTGTGTATGCAGGCCTACAGTGTGTAAGGCCTACTTGCTTACCTGTAGAAATGGGTCAAATTGTACTCACTGCATGCTTCGCTGTGACTTATACTCCTGCAGCAAAGAGCCCACTACATATTCTAACAGATATACGGGTGGACAGACAGTCACAAGATGTGGAAAGACGACAAACGGTGATCCAGGCTAATAAATGAGCTTCCTGTTTGCATCGTAACAAAGCTGCTTCAAGCTCACTGTGTGTGCATGAGTGTGTATGAGTTGTACAATGCAGTTTGGTAGTTGTGTCCACAAAGGTCTGTCTGTCTGTCTGTCTGTCTGCCTGCTTCCATGTCTGTCTGTCTGATATATCACCATTCAGGCTGCAACAGGGTGCTGTACATTTCATAATTTATGTGTAAGAGATGCTTGCCGATTTAGTATGCTTGAGTACACATGTGTGCGCGCGCACACACACACATTTATATATGTATGTAGGCTCACATAGACATGAACACACAAACACACACACACACACACACACACACATGAATCCCCCTCACCCAAATCCACATAATTCTTCTCGAGCTGTCAGGTCATAAAATCTGTCTGTTGTGTTTTAATCGGAGCATTTTTAATTTTGATTTCACAACAGGATGCAAAAATTACATTGTGCCAGAATTCAAAATTTCAGAAGAAGAAGAGAAAGAGTTGCTCCACCTCTTTTGTCTTTATCTTTCCTGAGCAAGAGGAAGTGTTTGAAAAGGTGAGACTGATTTTCCGGAGATTAAATCAAAGATTTTTTAAATGCAGTTTGGCAAGGCCTCAGTTGTTTTGCAGTCACTGCTCAAAATATTAGAGACAATCCCCAGTTGTGTCAACGCTTACAATTCTTACATACTCTTATTTATCTGCTTTCCTTTGTTGTCATCTTTTTTGTGTGACTGTGAACAGATTTAAAAAGAGAAATCAATAAGGGATTCCGATTTTGATCAGCTATTCACTGCACACTATGAATATTTAATAGCATTTTGTTTATTGCCTTCTTCTGCAGAAATCCAGCAACATACGCTTCACATCTCACCTAATTTATATCCATTTCCTGCAACATTAAGTTCAAACAGTCTGTCCTGAGTGGGAAATCTTCACAAGAATTTGGTGCAATTTCCCCCTCAGAGACACGTGGGTAAGACGAACGGGTGGAATTTTTGTTTTGTTTTGTTTGTTAGCCAGATTCGGTGTGTGTTATGGAGTCGCCACGCTGAGACAGTTTACACCCGAAGGTGCCGACGTGCCTTCTGCTTCTCATTCACTGCAAATAACCCCAGCTTTCCTCCAAGAGGCTGATTTAGCGTGAAGAAACACAAACAGGACGACAGCTCTCATTGTAGCCACAAACCCACACACACACACACACACACACACACACACACACACACACACACACACACGAGGAGAGAGAGAGAGAGAGAGAGAGAGAGAGAGAGAGAGAGAGAGAGCGAGAGAGGGCTGTGTGTAAATTGCAGTCGCCCACTTGAGATGCATGTTTCCCTTTGGCTTGTCAAATAGCCGTGCACCCTGCTGGGGCTAAGTCTTTGTTAGAGAGCGAGACAGAGAGAGAGAGACAACATAGTAACTCCTTTTATATGCACTAAAGCATTTTGTAGATGAGGTGTTTTTAAACTGCTATAAATGAAAATGCAGTTCTTCAGTGTGTCTCATTAAGTGTCACAGCTGATTTTAATAAATACATAATGATATTCCTAATAGTCATATCATTCATTATTTTAAACAAATAGAGAGTGTTTAATGGGTCACTTAACTCAAATGAACAAAACATATTTTCTTATTGTGGTCAGTTTTCAGTGTAAAGGAATATTCCTATTTTTACATGTTTTAAAAAGAAACAAATGAAACTTTATTCATCACAATGGATAACTGAGAAAATATGTATTTTTTTAATTTGGGTGAAATTATCCTTTAAATGCCGGTTTTGGTTATTTCTGGTTTCCAGAAGAGCACATACACAATGGTTTTTCTTGGAAGTTACCTTTTAAAGCGTGTATACAGTATATGTGTGTGTGTCCATGAATACACAGGATGAGGGTTTCCAGTTCCCAAAGAACATGCCTAAGCTCATTTTGTTGTTCAGCAGGCTGTACACAGTCTTTCACGTCTGATACTACATTACACACACACACACACACACACACACATACCCTGCTATAGCCTGCATACCGGAGTGTTGGTTTGATCAGCTGAGGCACATTGAGCTGTCTGTCTGTTGCCGCTTGTCCTTGAACCACACATCTCCCCGTTTCCCTCTTTCTCTCTTTCTGTATTTCCCTCCTCTCTCTCTCTCTCTCTCTCTCTCTCTCTCTCTCTCTCTCTCTCTCTCCTTTTTTTCTATCTGTATCTATGTCTCTCTCTCTCTCTCTTCCTGCTAGGGGGAGCTCTCAGGCTGTCAGTGCTGCACTCGCTCTGCCAGTGAGAGGGGTAGCAGAGTACAAATGTGTGTGTGTGTGAGGGTGTTAATCAGATGACATCAGTGCTGAAAGACCACATTCACCTCTTAACTGTCAACACCTGCACACTCTGTACTTTACTGTCTGTCTCTCTGTCGCACTTTTTATTTACACCATGTACTGTAAACCCATGTCAGCAGCTGAGTGACATCTATAGCATTCAGTAGAGTGTGTATGTTTGTGTGTATGCTGTAGTGTACTGATAGTGAAGTAACTAGAGCACTTAGAGCTATTGTAAATGATTTGACTATATTTCCTCCTGTATTTGAAGTTAATCAATATAATTTTTTGCATGTATATTTGGCTTCTTTTTGTTTGGTGTCAGTTTAGTTTGAAGAGATCAATGTTGTTTTCTTTAATTGCATTTTTTTTAACTTTGCCTCTGTCTGTGATAAAGAGCGATGAGAGCATCCAGCAAATGATCTGAAGATACATTCATCTATCACATAGTATTAGTTATGGGAATTTTGACTTTGTAGGGAGCCAGATAATTTGGATCACTATTCCTTTAGTTCCACTTCTGGCTTTTATGATTCAGCTGGATTTACCAATATTTTAACCTATGATTGGTATGTGTGCACATATATCACTTAAATCATTCATTACTAAACCATATAATTTCCAGAACACCATAATTTTACATATACGGTTGTAAAAAAAACCTTGAACAATAAAAAAACACCATATGTGTATTAAACGTCTTACTTATATTGAACTATGTTTTATATGTTGGTGCAACATACAAAGTTTCACCATGCTTGGCTTTTAATGTTA